CCATGCACGCTAGCGGCTCCAAAACCACTAAAAAAAAAAAGCTAATATTGGTGGCTTTTGCACTGTTAGGAGTGTATGCAAGTGTTCATGCAGCCTTAGGAGAACAAGCTTTTTTTTTTTTTTTTTTTTTTTTTTTTTAAAGTGGCAGCCGTTTGCATCCTTAACCAGCTGGTTGTCGAGGAGCGGGTCAGCAAGCCGGCCACCACGTCCTTAACAATAGATGTGTCATCAGCTGTCCAGCATTCCTGCTGAATGAAAAAAAAAAAGCGGAAACAATTGGCAGTTAAAATTTGAGACAAAAATACAGCTTGGAGGTCTCTCCACAACCCTTACCAGGCCCTTTGGGTCTGTAACAGATTTTAAGGGGAACCCCACTCCAAATTCTGAAAAAGGTGTAGGGTACCCCCCCATCCATTCTATCCCTTAATCCATTTTAAGGCGACCATTATGCCAAAATGTTTAAAAAAAAAAAAAAAAAAAATGGCAACCACAAAATCCATACCAGACCCTTATCTGAGCATGCAGGAAAGAGGGTGAGGATGTGGTATGTATGTGTGTGTGTTTTTGGGGGGAAGGGGGGGGTTGCCATCAGGGTGGATTTGATTTAAATCAAACTGATTTAAATCGCGATTTAAATCACTAGTAAGGCTTGATTTAAATCCTAGTTTTCTACATAAAGACTAATTCTTGCTGGTATAACTTTAATAGTAGTAGTTGAAGATTTTTAGAATAACAACTTTTCAGATTAGTTTTTTTATCCCCAGTTTAATAGGTTAATTCATATTTGGACAACTTTTCTGTTGTACTTAGGAAGGAGAAAAATAATCATTACCTTAATAACAATTTAAATAGATTTATTCAACTGAAACAATAACATTACAGCATATGTTATTTGCTTAAACAAACATCCATGTTTGTTAACTAATTTGGCTAAACAAAATATATATATTTTAAGAAACTTAGACTGTCAGCCCCTTCCTCCTCACACTTAGTTTCACTTTCTTCTTGTGCAGATCTATTCCACTCCAAACAATCAGAAAAATATTGTTTCTCTATTCACTGAACTTCTTGAAACTTAGCACTGAAGGGGTTGATTCTGTATTCATAGGTTTGTAGAAGTTAGGATTAAGGTCTCTTTCTTAACTCTGTTCATGTTTATAACATTTTTGCTGTGAAGAAGAGGCATGTGATCTCTGCTGAGTCAAATTCAGTTTTGAGAACTGCAAAAGTAAACCAAGCATCTGTGATAATATCTTGTAGGCAGAGAAACTGCCCAATAATCTTACAAAAACCTCTGGAAGAAGAGCATGACAATGTGAATGGATTTCATGGAATTTATTTACCAAAAAAAGTAAACATATACAGCCTTATTCTACAGAATTAAAAAACTAATCTTTATTTCATGATGGAATAACCTTTGGATGGTAATATATTTTCCTCAAAAAGCATTTTATTTAAAAAAAAATCCGATTTAAATCAAAAAAAATCTTTTTTTTTTTTTTTTTTTTTTTTCTATCCTTCTTGCTGAAGCGTGAAAACCTCTTCTAGCCTACAATAGTTTTACATGGACACATAGGATTAATGCTATGTTGCTTCTAGGAGCAGAAAAAAAAAATGCTCATAAGTAGCTGGTAGGAACTGCTAGGAGCTTAAAAATGAGCTAGTGTACATAGAGCCTAAAAGTAACTCCTGTCGCTTTTGGAGTGTCAGATACTGCGCTACAGTCACCTGAGCATTCATATGTGAACAGTCACCATTGAAATGCATGGGATTTTGGAGCTTCAGGCTTTGAACTACAAATTGTTCAGGTGTGAATGGGACCTTATTGTTTTATTATAATTACACTTTTAATTTTAGCCAACGACGGCTTCTGTTTTATTAGGGCACGTTCGTTTAGCTTCCAAAGCATATGATCAGACTCACCGTTGTGCTGTGCCATATGCAGGGCCGATCAGTCATTTTTATGGTGAGTGGTCTACATTGTGCACTTACACTGCAGGTCAACTACTTTTTTCCAAAAACATTCAGGGCCGTTTCACGTTTGTGCGCACACTGTGTTTAGGCAGTCCATTTAGCTTTACAGAATTGCTTATTAAAAATTATTTAATTTTTGTTTAACTCTGCAGGGGGTCAAGCGCACTCTTATTTTCTATAGGTGATGCTTTTTAAAGCCCCTTTAGAGGTCATCAGTTTGGTGTTACGGAGGCGGTCTGGTTGCTAAAATCATTGCTGTCATCCTGGCGTGCGCAGCGATATGTGACTTGTGTATCGCAGTCGGCGTTTACATGTTCTCTTTATTGCAACCTCCCAAGGTCTAAAAGACCCTGCATGTCTCCCCTGTACTACACGGAATGTAAAGCAGTGCACATCGCACTGCATTACATTTAGTTAATCCCTCAACGAGGACCCGGAAGTGACCTCATAACGTCACTTCTGGGTCAGGAGAAGAAAAGGAGGGGAGTGGACGCGGCCGCTCTCCACTCTAGGTGACGGCGGTGAACCGGGTCCACAGATGGGCAAGCGGACCCCAGGAGATAGTGGGTGGGGGGGGTTCACACGAGGTGGCAGAGGCTTGCACTGTGTAGAAGCAATCGGCGGCAGAGCTGCCGCCGATTTGCTTCCACCTGACAGATGAGCCCTGCTGCTTGCCCGCAGCAGGGCTAAGGGTAGAAAAAGAATACCCTCCCGGAACTATATGTCCAGGGCTTCAGGCGATGGGAATTAACATCCCTGTTTAAGGCCTGATGCACACAGGACGTTTAAAAAAAAAAAAAAACCCAAAAAAACTGTCAGCTGTCCTCCTGGTAGCAGCGCTTTTGCAGAAAAAATGCCTGATGCTTGTAAAAGAGTCAAATGCTATTACAAGTGTCAAACGCGCGTTGGCGTTGATTCATTTCATTGGCCAGAGTGATGATTTTATTTTGGCCATTAAAATGGATTAAAGCTTAAGCGCTAAATGCACCTAACGTTTAGCCGCGTCCAGCGTTTTCTGCCAGACCACTGCTGCTCCTGGACACACTGGCCTTGTGTATATATATATATATATATATTTTTTTTTTTTTTACTGCTGGTAAAAACACTACTGCTACTAAAAGCTTCTAAGTCTGTGTGCATGGACACAACGTAACATGGAGGGCTGTTTGGAAGCAGTAAAAAAGAAAAAAAAAAAAAAAAAAACACTCCTGGCGCTCCTAAAAGTGGCTGCAAAAATGCCCTGTGTGCATGAGGCCTTAGTGCTTTTACACATACACAGGTGCAGCTCTGCAACGCTGTTTGATCCATTGGCCAGGCCATGTCTGTTGTGTAAAAAGTCATTGATAGACATACCTTTTGAGTGATCCATTACTATTATAAAATGACATAGAGCCTCAGCTCTGACTGAGCGTTTACTATTATAAATGAGCAAGCAGCACGGGTTGTGCATTCATAATTATGACAGACCACTCAGCTAAGACTGGGTGGGGCTCTTTGCTGGCTGTACCCTGTTCCCAAACCCACAGGAATGGCCATAGTTTGGGTTTCAAAGGGGCGTGGAACTACAGCCAGGGGTGTGTTATGGGGACAAAAGAGCCATCAATCAGAATAGTGTTTTTTTTTTTTTTATGCATTTAATAGCCTGGGAAGTTAAAAGTTTAAAAAAAACTTTTTGGGCAGTTACAATCCAAGAATAAAATTTAGCTCTTAAACTTGCAGTTCCGGCTGGAGTACAGATTCAGTATGTGGTCTCTTGCTCTCCATAGCCTCCATTCATAAAACACTTTCTTTCACTAAATACAAGATGTTCTGTAATTGTGATGTTCATCCACTTCTTCTCTAGTCACCCCTCCTCCAATTGCAGAATGCCGGATGTTTCCTGCTTACGGTAGTGTACAGGAGTAATGAAACCGAAAGATATTGCTATTAATAAATAAATTTAGCGATTGCAGTAATAATTAAATAATAAATAATTTAGTGATTGCAGTAGCAGCCACACATGGGATAAACTTCTTCAGTGGTTACTTATTCCTGTATTGCAAATGTCCAAAACCGTTTGTTTCCCATAGTTCAGCCTAAAGGGACAGCTGTCAATACTATATTTCTTTCACACAGCATGGGCATACTTGGGATTACACCCCACTCTGCTCCTCTTCCCGAATGTGGGGATACCACATGTGGGGAATGGAATCCTTGTCCACATTGGAAGATTATCTATTTTTGTTCTGTGAAAAAAATTTGGAATTTTCTTTTACTTTTGGAGATGATTGTAAACAGGACTGATAGGGTGCATCTCCATAACAGGAGCACAAACAGCAGTAAAAACCTGAGCGGAGTTCTAATCCCTCTGCACTTTAAAAAAAAAAAAAAAAAAAAAAAAAAAAAGTTTTGCTTTTAGTTATACTTTAACTTCTTGCTGCCCGCTCACAGCACATCCACAGCTGTTTTCAGGAATCCTGCTGTCCAATCACAAACACACAGAACTCTGTGTACACAAAACAGTGATTTGGCTGTTTCTTCTCCTTTGAAAAGCAGGGAGGAAAAACAGCCAGATCTGTGAGTAAAAGCAGCACATGTTACTTAAAATCGATATGCTGCGCTAAACACAATAAACGAGTAGTATACTTCATAAATACTGAACATTCAGATATATACAAAATGCATAAGCACTGGTAATAGTGCAGAATTAGTGCAGTGATAACCACGTTTATAACGTTGCTAATATAAATGTTTGAATTGGATACCGAAGTGGCGGTGGTAGTGAGTCTAATCACATGAAGATATAATTCATCAAAAATAGTGCTCTGTGTTCCGTGACTTCAATTGCTGTTGTGAAAATCCGGTACAATAATGTACTTACCAGAAGTACATATAATGAAAGCATTATATGTAAACCATATTTGTAGTATCAGCAGTGTCTGGTCTATGGTTGCGGTATCATCTGGCTCTATGGTAGAGACTCAGAGATGGAATGATTCACACTCGGGGGTCAGCTCAGGCTCACAGATTCGTCCAGACCAGCTCAAAAACCCTGGTAGCACCTTCCCAAATGGCTCCACCTTATGAGGCTCGCAAGAAACGAGCCAAGGGGCAAAATGGTACTGATCGTGTAGTACGGGTGTCGGCAACCCGCGGCTCCAGAGCTGCATGCGGCTCTTTTTCACCTTTGCTGCGGCTCCGGAGCACACTGCCCACCAGGTGACAGGCAATAGGGTTGCCGTAGCTCAGTGGTCGGCAAGCCGCGGCTCTTTTAACCTCCCTGGCGGTTTTCCCGAGTGTAGCTCGTGGTAGAATTTCTATACCACGAGCTACACTCGGGCTTACCATGCGGCGCTGCTCTGGGGGTCCCTGCAGCACTTACCTTGTCCTTCGTTCCCCGCGATGTGTCCCCTGCAGCGTCCCCGGCCATCTCCTCCGGCCGATGCCGGCATCCGGCTTCTGTGTTCCGGTCCCCGTGACGTCGGGACGTACGGGCGCCGCCGGCGGCGGGAAATTTAAAAAATTTAAAAAATGTCTTTTTTTTTTTTTTTTTTCAATAGTAAAACATTGCTGTTTCATCCCATTTCACATACATATTGTCCCTAGTGCTTTGTCCTGTGCCCTGTCTGCATTTTGTCTGTTCTTTCTGCCTGGAAACTTAGAAAAGTCCATGGCGTCCAAAAAGCGTCCCTTTAGGTCAAAAGCGGTTTTAGACCGGCTAGAGAACAGCGATGGTAAATCAGAACCACTTGCAGAATTGAGTGATAATGATTTGTGGGGAAATTTTCCTAAAAATTACAGCCTACAATAAAAAACTATTTCCATGCGAAAAAATGGTACCGCTTTCAGCACAAGAAATCGGAAGGAATAATACCGCCAGGGAGGTTAATGCAGCTCTGTGTGCCGGGCGCCTACTCCCCCTCCCTCCTCTCGGGCGGCCGCCCCAAAAGTCAGGACTCTGCAGCTAGCCTAGCAATGGGCAAACTACGGCCCGGCGGACCTTATAATCCGGCCCGTGGAGCGTGGCAAACATTGGCTGTCAGGGTGTAGGCGGGGCAGCGTGACGAACTCCTCTCCTCTCACAGTCCGCCCTGAAGACCAGAACTGCGCGGGAACACGGCGAGAGGAACGCGCGGAGTACAGGTAAGTGAATTGACACAATATGGGAATGAATTACTATAGGGGGGATGAATTACTATGGGGGATGAATTACTATATGGGGGATGTATTTTCAGTTTTAAAAATGTGGCTCTCAAAATAAATTTTAATCGTGGTTTTGGCGAGATTTGGCTCAGTTGAAAAGGTTGCCCACCACTGACCTAAGGCTATGATTGTGATTATGACGATACACTGTGGCCCTGATTAACCCTTTGCTTACTGGGCCCTTAAACCCCCTTCATGACCAGAGCGCTTTTTGCAATATATGCAGTGTCGGATTTGTTTTAAATGTTGCAATGGTTTTGCGGCTCCCAGTCTTTTTTTCCCTCTCGGAAACGGGTCCAAGTGGCTCTTTATGTCTTAAAGGTTGCAGACCCCTGGTGTAGTATGTTTATTGTAATAGAAAATAGAACCGAAACTAAAACAATATAATGAACTCACATGTAGTAATACAAATTGCCGCCAGACCTTCCTCATAGGCTTTGTGCGGCTAGGGCGTCAATCTGGTGGATTCTCTTGACATGTTTCGTGCATCAAGCACGTTATCAAAGGGGATATTACACTTGTTAGTCACACAGTTACCCCTTCCCAGCCAGTGTCAATACAGTGTACAGTTTTCTATCTGATCTCTGTATTAGTGTCACTAGTGACGTCAATGTCCCTCCCAGTCAGTGGCTGTTAGCGCCAGATTGCCCGCCACACTATCAGTCACAAGTCACTTATCACCGCCATTACAAGTATAGCGTCTATAACGGTGTACATTTCACTATATATAGCATACCTTAGTTTGTAGAGGCTATAATTTTCATGCAATTAACAAATTAAAGTACTTAAAGGATTTTTTTTTTAACTGAAGGCATGTAGCAGAATACATTTTGGCCTAAATGTATGAAGAAATTGGATTTTTAAAAAATTATTTGAAGTGGTTTATAACACAGTAAAAAAAATGTTGTGTTTTTTTTTTATTAGGCGTATGTGTTTTTTATTATTATTATTATTACAGGTACTTGTATAGCGCCGTCAAATTTTTACGCAGCGCTTTTACATATATATTTCACATCAGTCCCTAACCCTCAAGGGGCGTACAATCTAACTTCGCAAACTTACATTCAAATTTGCGTGTACTCGTGAAATGGCAACAAACTTCAGTACCCTATATATTCTATAGGTGACCTATTTAAAGCCCTTATAGGTCATCAGTATACACCCTTTTCCAAATTGTTATGCAAATTCTATTTAACCACTTGCACTCCTAAGGATTTACCCCTCCTTAATGACCAGGCCTATTTTTGCTACTCGGTGCTGCACTAATTCAACTGATAATTGCGCGGTCATACAATGCTGCACCCAAACGAAATTTACGTCCTTTTTTTCACACAAATAGAGCTTTCTTTCGGTGGTATTTGATCACCTGTGCGCTTTTGATTTTTCACGCTATTAACAAAAAAGACCATAAATTTTGAAGAAAAACAAACAATATTTTTTACTTTCAACTATAAAAAATATATAGTAAACTCAAAGTTAGTTTATAAATTTAGGCCAAAATGTATTCTGCTACATGTTTTTGGTAAAAAAAAATCCCAATAAGTGTATATTGATTGCTTTGTGAAAGTTATAGCGTCTACAAACTATGGTATCGATACTGCAATTTACGCCATTTTTTTGCTATATAGCGCTGTGCTAGTTTAATGGACAATTGCGTGGTCATGCAATATGGAACATAAATGAAATTTGTCCTTTTTTCACACAAATAGAGCTTTCTTTTGGTGGTATTTGATCACCTGTGCACTTTATTTTTACCGCTATAAACAAAAAATTTTTTGAAGAAGATTAAAAAAAAAAAAAAATAAAAAATATTTTCTCATTTTGGGCATAACAAATATCCAAAAAGCTAAAATTTTGTCATAAATTTAGGCCAAAATGTATTCTGCTACATGTTTTTGGTTAACAAAATCCCAGGAAGTGTATATTTATTGCTTTGTGTGAAAGTTAGAGCGTCGACAAACTATGGTATAGACATCAGAATTTACACAGCTTTTACTTTCTGACTGCTTATTACATTTCTTGAGGTGTTAAAATACCAGGATAGTACAAACACCCCCAAATGACCCCTTTTCGGAAAGTAGACACCCTAAGCTATCTGCTGAGAGGCATATTGAGTCCATGTAAAATTTTTATTTTTTTTTCCAAAAGTTTCTGGAAAATGACAACTTTTTTTTTTTTTTTTTTTTTTTACACAAAGTTGTCATTTAAATGATTTATTTCTTGCACAAGCCATGGGTATATGTGGAATTACACCCCAAAATACATTCTGCTACTTCTGCCGAGTATGGGGATACCACATGTGTGGGACTTTTCAGGAGCCTAGCCACATGCAGGGGCCTGAAATCCAATGACCACTTTGAAAGCCTGAAGGTGCGTAACTTCATTTCACTTCCTCACTACCTATCACAGTTTTTTTGAAGGTCCTGACATGCCAGGATAGCACGAACCCTCCCCCCCTCAAATGACCCCTTTCTGGAAAGTAGACACCCCAAGGAATTTAAAAAGAGGTATGGTGAGTATTTTGCAGATCTCCTTTTTTTTTTTTTCTCACAAGGTTTTGAAATATAAAAAAAGAATAGAAGAAATATGTTTGTTTTTTTTTCTTCATTTTGCAGAAACTTGTGGCAACCAATGAGATCTGCAAAATACTTAGCATGCTTCTTACCAAATTCCTTGGGGTGTCTACTTTCCTAAAAGGGGTCATTTGGGGTGGTGGGGGGGGGGGGGGGTTGGTGCTATCCTGGCATTTCAGGGCTTCCGAAACTCTGATAAATAGTCAGGAAGTGTAATAAGGAAATAAAGCCTTTTAAAAGCCTGAAGGTGCTTATTGGATTTTGGGGTCCTGTACTTGCCTAGACTGCCAAAACGTCTGTCACATGTGGTACCCCCATACTCGGGAGAAGTAGCAGAATGTATTTTGGGGAGTAATTCCACATATACCCATGACATGTGTGACCAATAAATCATTTAAGTGACAATTTTGTGAAAAAAAAAAAAAAACAAAATTTGTCATTTTCCAAAACTTGCCTCTCCGCAAATAGTTTGGGGTGTCTACGTTCCAAAAAGGGATCTTTTGGGGGGGGGGGGGGGGGGTTGGGGCGTTTTATGCCCAGCATTAGAAGTTTATGCCACACATTACTCACTCTTCTAACCACCTGAAGATCAAGCCTTCTGACACTTTTTGTTCACATGAAGAAAATCAGTATATTTTGCTAGAAAATTAATTTAAACCCCCAACCATTATATATTTTTTTAAAGCAGACACCCTAGTGAATAAAATGGTGGGCATTACAATTTTGTATGGCACATAGTACTCGTGCAGCGTTTTTTTTTTTTTTTTTTTTTTTTTTTTTTTTCCAAAAGCAATTTTTTAAAAAAAATATACACTTTTTTTAAATTTCTTTTTACTTTTAATGCAGAAAACCACAATATATTGGCTAATTATTTGATACGATATAAAAGATGATGGTATGCCGAGTAAATAGATACCAAACATGACATGCTTTAAAACTGCGCATGCCCTGTGAAATGGCGACAAACTGCATATATTTTTAATATCCATAGGCAACACTTTAAAAGCTACCATTTTATATTTACAGAGGAGGTCTATTGTTAGAATTACTGCCATTGATCTGACGTTCATGGTGATACCTCACATGTATGGTGCACCTGCTGTTTACATACCGCCACAGGGTCAACGCTTGTGCACACAGGTGTGCGTGCATGGGAGGTGCGAGGGTTTTTTTTAATTTTTTTTTTATCACTTTTAATGCTGTCACAGGGAATGCAAATATCCCCTATAACTTCAGTGGGCATTGTCATATATTCTTTTTTCAGAAATCTGGGGTCTATCGGACTCTAGATATCTCCTCTGCCCTTACATTATCTAATCAAACCAAAATTAATGTGATCAGATGCTTTCCCAATTTACAAATGGCGCTGTTTATATCCTGCGAAACTGAAGTGATGAAATGCTCGTAGCTTCCGAATTCTTAGACTATAGAGATGATTGGCACCACTCTGGTCTCCAATCAGCTCTATGGTCAGCTGGCAGAAACACCGGCTGCATTCCCAGGTTCCCCCGATGGCACGAGACTGCCGAGAAGGCCGTGGAAGGCAGCGGGGGGGGGGGGGGGGGCATCATGTCCCGCTGCTTGTAAAAGCAATCCTGCAGTTAGCCACTAGGATTGCTTTTACATGAAAGCCGATCACCGGCTGATAAACGATACCAGGATGATGCCTGCAGCTGTAGGCATCATCCTGGTATAACTATTCAAAGTCCAGTGATGTACCAGTATGTCGCTGGTCCTTGTGTGGTATATATGCTATGTTCTTCCTTTTTTTTTTTTTTTTTTTTTTTTTTGCATGCAGCCTGGGGACTGAATGAAAAATGAGAAGAAATCTCTGCCAAAAAAAGAAAAGAAAAGTGTGGCATGCCCACCATTAAAATATACCGCCCTGCATCCACCCACTTCTAATGGTGGGCACAAATTAGGTCACATGGTGCCACATGCGCCAGTTCCAAGATTGTACAAATGTCTAAATAGTGGCACGCTTGAATAAAAAGGATGACACCAAGTCCCAAACTATCTTGCCACTACTCCCCATGTAGTCTGGGCATCCGGGGGGCTCCACGTGACTATCTTTTTCTCTCGTAAATCCGAGACTTAAGTATAGCCTGTTGTACTCTCGCAGGTCTTCTAAGCCTTGACCACATATCTGGCACGCTTGCTGGGGAGAAATTGTTTGAATGCAAGG